GCACCCTGTACAGTGCTGAGGATATAGAAGAAAATTAGACCTCTGTGCTCAAGGACTTCATAGTCTAGTGGGAAAGACAGCCATAGAAACCACAGGTCATCACTTTTCTTAGGCCTGTTTTCAGTCAGTTCTACCTTCGAGGGAAACCAATCACACAGCTCATAGATGATGGGATTTTAAAGCTGAGTGATCTAAGAATGACCTCTTCTATCGCACTCGTTTTACTGATAGAGAAATTGTGCTTATTATTTGTTGTAGAAACTACTACTACTTCCTCTTGTTTGCCTCTAAATGACTTATCCCAGGTTTCAAGTTCACTTCAGTTCAAGTCGTTTTTATTAAGAGTCTACCAGATGCCAGGCTCTCTACAAGAGCTGCAGATACGGCGGCGGAGCAGCATCATTCCTGCCCTCCAGTCGGTCACAGTCCGGGGAAGAAGGACACACAGAGGCAACAGCTGCACTGTTTGATAATAGGAATAGGGGTGAGCACCAGGCCCTGAAAATACTGGAGGAGCGCCCCGGATTTGGACTTGGGAAATTTGAGGGAGGCTTCCCAAGAAAGAAAACCCATCAGCCTTATTCTGATGGGCGAAAAAGAAGTGTGTCGGTGAGGGTGTAGGGAAGGGCATGCCAGGCAGAGGAATGGCCTGAGCGAAGGCGTGGAGGTGTGAGACCGCACGGTTTACGGGAGGAACTCTAAGAGGCTGGTGTTGTTGGAGCTTAAAGGGGGAGGAGTGAGTGTGGGAAGGAGGGCAGGGGCTAAGCATGGCTGACACGGAGCTGGTACGGCCAAAGGCTGCCTTTGCCTTACTGGGTCTGGTGAGCATGTCCTTGCTCACCTTCGCTGTACTCTCTGAGGTACGAAACTCCACCAAATCCCCTCACAGGGGAATTTATAGACTGAGTAGGCCTAATTTGTGTGAAGGAAGAGCCCATTCTTCAAGGTGTGGCTCCAATCTCACCACCTCCTTGAAGCCTTCATTAACTACCCTCCGCCTTTAATGCACTCTATCGTCTGGCCCACAACCCAGGCATGTGCCCTGACTGGGAATCGAACTAGCAACCCTTTGGTTTGCAGGCTGGCGCTCAATCCACTGAGCCACACCAGTCAGGGCTCTGGGGTGTGTGTGTGTGTGTGTGTGTGTGTGTGTGTGTGTGTGTGTTTAACCATCCCATGTGACTACAGCTAGTTTCTATGTGAGACCATAAGTTCCTGAGGGCTGGCTATGTGAGTCACATGACAATGTTTAAGAAACCCCAATAAAACTGAGTCCTATTGATCTGCATCTCAGAAAGGTGCTTGGGCTTGCAGGTCAAACAGATCTGGGTTTGATTCCTACGAGGCCACCACTTACTAGTTCGTTTCTGTGGGCAAGTATTTTAATCTATCTAATGTCTCGGTTTCCTCACCTATAAAATGGGTGATGGCTTCAACTCATGGGTGGTTTTGAAGACATGGTTTTAACTGGGGGCTAGGGCAGCACCGGAGATTTCCCCACAGTGAGGATTGGAACCTGCAGCCATGCTGGGCGGAGGCTGGAGAGCAGTACATCTCTAGGGCAGATGGAAAACCTGCTATGGTCAGGCCCTGTGGCTAAGCAGCTGCCCCAGATGATTTACTAATCCATTAGGTACTTTATGATGACAAAGTACTTGGTCTGTGCTACCTCGTTGGAGCTAAGGAGGTTAAGCAATGTGCCCAAGGTCACAGAGCAAGCGAGTGGTGAAGCTTGTGTGGGTGAGAGGGAGGGAAGAGGGGGAGTGCTCAGACAGTGGTTAGAGGAGGGTGAAGTGCACATTTTGTATGTAACAATACTGGGATAAGGGACAGAAGTGTGCTGGTAAACGTGTAACAGCCAGTAAGTATTTAACAACTGGCTCACCAAGAAAGGTCAACCCCACGCTGGCTGGTGTGGATCAGTGGATTGAGTGTCAGCTTGTGAACCAAAGGGTCACCGGTTTGATTCCTGGTCAGGGCACATGCCTGCATTGCAGGCCACGTTCCCAGTTGGGGGTGTATGAGATACAGCCACACATTGATGTTTCTCTCCATCTCTTTCTCCCTCCCTTCCCCTCTCTCTAAAAATAAAATCTTAAAAAAAAAGAAAGGTCAACCCTGCTGTGAAGTGTTTGCCAATTCCTGTGGTGTCAATACTTCCACCATCAGTGTCTCTACATGAGCTATCAATTTGACAAGCTCTCAATGTGACATCACTGGATCTGGGATCTGGAAGAGATAAGCAAGTTGGCTTTTCTGAGCCAGTACCAGCCAGCTCCAGCATACCACTGAGGGCTTCAAGGTCACCATGGATGGGCCCGTGGGGGAGCCCACTCATACTGACTTGCATCTAATCCTCCCAAACCCCTCAAGGTTGGGGCCCTAGTGCTCCCATTTCATGGAGAGGGAAGCTGAGGATCCTGCCTGACTGTGGTCACACAGCCACCATGTGGAAGAGAGGGGCTCCAGTTTGGGCAGTCCGGCTCTAGAGCCCTCACCATGACAGACTCTAACTAAGCATGAGCTGCTTAGTGGCATTAGCTGTCAAGTCCTAGCCTATTTCCAGATGAATCTCCAGTTGACCTTTGGCCCTGGCATAGTTTGGTTCCTCTCTTCCTGCCCCCAGCTATTTTTCATCCCCATCCATGATAGCAGGGCTTACTCTCACATTCCCCATTGGGATCCAGCCGGCACAGCCAGCAGAACTGGAGGTAGAGGCTGGCCCAGCAAGGCCCGTGGAGCCAGACGCAGGTTATTGTGGGGGGGGCACAGAGATGTCCAGGCCTGGAGTCTGTCACAGCCCAGATGCTTATTGGCACTCAGAACCAATACTAACAGCACACGTCTGCTACTAACAACATAGTAATGATCATTTATTAGGAAATAATGAAGTCTAAGTATGTGATCTGGAACACTGAACCAAACCGGTGACTGTTTGGGAATGGAGGGAGGGAGACCAAGAAGACTAAGGGGAAGGGGAGGAAAGGCAGGGCATGTTGGAGGGTGTGCGTGAGCATGTGTGTGTGTGCGTGCGCGCACGCAAGGACAGTGGAGGGCCTGCGTGGTCATTGGAAGACACTTGGGACCCCCAGGCTTGTGTCTGAGCCCCAGTGCTATGACTTGTAGTGGTGGGAGAGAGGGGGGAAGGAACGATCATATCACTGACAATAATAACAACAGTCAAGATTATTATCTGTGCCCTGGTCAGTTAGTTGTAGCATCGTCCCATACACCAAAAATTTATGAGTTCGATCCCTGGTCAGGGCACATACCTAGGTTGTGGGTTCATCCCTGGGCAAGGTGCGGCAGCTGCTCAATGTTTCTCTCTCACATTGCTGTTTCTCTGTCTCCCTTCCTCTCTCTCTAATATCAATAAACATATCCTCGGGTGAGGATTAAAAAAAGATTATTATGTGTGGCTAATTGTAATTTATTCAGGTTTATGGGGTTGTGCTTATATCACAGGTAATGCTTACCTCGCTGTCACCAGGGCTGCAGGGCTGAGAGGTGAAGCTGGCACAGGGAGAGCAGCAGGGCTGACTCAATGGGAGCTGTGCCCCTTCCTGACCTGGCCACTTGCCAGTCACCACTCCGGAGAGCTGTTTTAGAAACTTGTGAAGTGTGTGCTTTCCTGTGCATGTGTGTGTGTGTGTGCATGTGTATGGGCCAATGCATGTTTGAGGGCCAGTGTGTGCACACATGCGTACATGCACACACCCGCATGCATGTATCTCTGTGTGTGTGTGCATGGCTTCTCCTTTCCTGCCCAGAGAGGAGCTGGACGGAGGCCAAGGGGTGACGGGGAAGCAGAGCTGCTGCAGACAGAAATGGAAGGGAATTCAGTTCTGGTCCCATCTCTTTCGAACCCCTTTGCACACAGTGGAAGCTTAATAAATACTTGATGATAGTTCTGAACCTGGGAAGCCAACAGCTGTTCCCAACTCTGACTCTCAGAGCCCCATAGGGAAGACCAGGTGGGGAGTACCACGGGGGTCTTCAGTCTTCCTGTCAGACCCTCTGGTGCCCAGCGGGAGCCATGGTCCACTTCACTCATCCTGTCCTGGGGAGATTGGTTCCTCCTCTGCAGCTTCTCCCTGGCTCTGCACCCCCCCCCCCCGCCCCCATCATTCCAGCAACACTTACGGAGCAACTACTTTGTGCTGAGCACCGTAGGGGGAGGCATCCTGGAAGAGGGGACAGGCAGCGTGGGTTCAGACTGACCTGGGTTCAAGTCCTAGCACCCTTAATTACAAGCTGGGTGATACCTGGTAAATTACTTACCTGTGCTCCAGTGATTTCCTTCCTTCCTTCCTCTCTCCCTTGTTTTCGTCTGTAAAAGGCGAATGATGACATTTTCATAGGGTCGATGTGAGGGTTAGAAGTACCCGGGAGGCGCCTGCATACAAGTTGCAGGGTTTCCGTGGGTGAGCTTATCCACCCGGATTCAAGAGGACGTGGATCCCCTCTGCTTCTATTACCTTGTAGTTGTTGCTCAACACCTCTGAGCATCAGTTTGTAGAACAGGAACATAATGCCCACCTCCTTGGGTGTCTGGAGGATGTTAACTGGATAATATGTGTGAAACAGCCTATCGTAGACCTTGGCCATTAGTAACTGTCTTCCTTGCTTCCTGCCCTCACATCAGGGCGCACAGCTTTCCTCCTTAGGAGGCCCTCTACCCCTCCTCCCTACTGCTCGCGTGCCGCGTACATCGCTTATAGTCGTGGGCTCCCGGTTTCTACCTGTCGGAGCAAGGGAGCAGTTGCTCAGCTCCTATGGGGGGAGCAGAAACTACAGTTCCCAGCCCTCCCTCTGCGGTCGCGGGGCTGGAGCTGAGGGCGGCAGGCCCCTCCTACGGGGAGGAGCCTATGGGGAGGGCGGAGTTAGGAGGTGGTGGGAGAGTTAAGCCAAGCCAATGAGACCAGCTGCTAATAAGTGGGCTGGGCTTACAATATAACAGTGGCAGGAGGAGGAGAGCAAAGCTATTGAGCCAGCGAGGAGTGAAGCTGAGCCTGGCCTCGCAAGCTCCTAGAGGACCACCTCCTGAGACAGTTCTTTCTCCCCTCTTCTTTCTCCAAGCTCCCCTCCTACCCTCCCTTCCTGCCCAGTACAATGCATTCTTGACTGGAAGCGTCTGGACTCCAAGCAGCCCCAGAGAGCCGGAGCAAGCCACAGAGAGAGGACTGGAGCCAAGACACTCTGGTGGGGAGCTTGGATGCCTGGCTCTCTTTGAGGACATCTCTGGAGCAAGTGTGGCTTTGGGGTTGGGGGTTGCGCTGCAGGGAATCCAGCCAGGCCCCAAGATGGACACTTCTGGGCACTTCCATGACTCGGGGGTGGGGGACCTGGATGAAGACCCCAAGTGCCCCTGTCCGTCCTCCGGGGATGAGCAGCAACAGCAGCAGCAGCCACCACCACCACTGCCAGCACCACCAGCAGCCCCCCAGCAGCCCCCAGGACCCCCGTTGCAGCCTCAGCAGCAGCAGCAGCAGCAGCAGCAGCAGCCTCAGCAGCAGCAGCAGCAGCAGCAGCAGCCACCGCATCCCTTGTCTCAGCTCGCCCAACTCCAGAGCCAGCCTGTCCACCCTGGCCTGCTGCACTCCTCTCCCACTGCTTTCAGGGCCCCCCCTTTGTCCAACTCCACCGCGATCCTCCACCCTTCCTCCAGGCAAGGCAGCCAGCTCAATCTCAATGACCACTTGCTTGGCCACTCTCCAAGTTCCACAGCCACAAGTGGGCCTGGTGGAGGCGGCCGGCACAGGCAGGCCAGCCCCCTGGTGCACCGGCGGGACAGCAACCCCTTCACAGAGATTGCCATGAGCTCCTGCAAGTACAGTGGTGGGGTCATGAAGCCCCTCAGCCGCCTCAGCGCCTCCCGAAGGAACCTCATCGAGGCTGAGCCTGAGGGCCAACCCCTCCAGCTCTTCAGCCCCAGCAACCCCCCAGAGATCGTCATCTCCTCCCGGGAGGACAACCATGCCCACCAGACCCTGCTCCATCACCCCAATGCCACCCACAACCACCAGCACGCCGGCACCACCCCCAGCAGCACCACCTTCCCCAAAGCCAACAAGCGGAAAAACCAAAACATTGGCTATAAGCTGGGACACAGGAGGGCCCTGTTTGAAAAGAGAAAGCGACTGAGTGACTATGCTCTGATTTTTGGGATGTTTGGAATTGTTGTTATGGTGATAGAGACCGAGCTCTCTTGGGGTTTGTACTCAAAGGTAGGAGTTGCGGTTTCTCTTTATACCTTGAACAAAAGGAATATACAGGTACAGAGAGAGAGAGGGAGAGAGAGATTCGGGAGAAAGGTGGTGGAGGGGAGAGGCGGTTGCTCAATTATATTGGACACTCGAACTTCCCATGGTTTTCCTTCTTAATCCTGGGAGAATTCATTCCTCGCTTTCTTGGTGGGGGACATCCCCATGCACTGTGCCTAATTTGCAGACTCCGTGTTAGGGAGGATTAAAGAATCCCTTCTGAGAAATCGTTTTTCCTCCTGGCTCACCCATACTAAAGCATAACCCAGGAGCTTAATGCACCAATTAATTACACTCTCTCCGCCTCGATGTGCTTGCCGGTTCCCGTGACTTCCCCTCCTCTCCTCCCCTCCTCGCTTCACTCCATTTTCCCGAGGATAAAACAGAAATAAATGTCTGGGTGGGGGGGTGGGGATTCCATGCCAGTCTCTCCTCTCTCTGTCTGCTCCCTCTCTTCCCAAGTTTCTGTTTCCCTCCTTGTCTTTGAGAGACTTAAGGTGAAATCAAAAAAGCACCAATGGCCCGAGTCTCCTGGGGCCTGGGGTAAAAATACAGGTGGAGGAAACCAGCGGTCCTCTCCCTCGGGAAAGAGGACTCAGAATAAACCCGCTGCTGCCTCATAAACATCCCCTGGTAAAAATGGCTACAGGTGTTCCCTGGGTAGAGCAGATGGGCGCCACCTTGGCACCGGCCTGGGGGGCGGGGGTAGGGCCTCTCCTTCGGATGGGATGGCAAGGCTTCCCGGGCTTCCCGAGAGCCGCTCCCGAGCTCGGCCCGGTTCTCCCCTCCCACCTCAGCGCCTTCTCTCGGGATAAATAAGGCTGAGAGTGTGTGCGCGAGTGTGTGAGCGCGCGCCAATGGAGACCGGCAGCGCCCGCTGTGGCGGGGGAGCTGGCCCCGCTGCTCCCGTCTCTCAGTCCAGCCCCGGGCGGAGGACGGGGTTCCCTCCCAGAGGGGCCTTGGAAGTCGCGTCCTCCAGGGCAGTGGGGCTTGAGGAAGGTGGGTTTCTGTTCCTGCTCTGCGTGCTGTGGGCTCTAAGGCTTGGAGACTGGGGGAGTCTTGGGACAAGTAGGTTTTTCCCGTCTACCTTTCACCCCCAGTTTGTTGGGGTGTGTATATGTGTGCACGTGTGATTGCGTGTGTGTGTGTGTGTGTGTGTGTGTGTGTGTGTATGGGTGCTTCCTTGTTGCTTGCATTTCTCTCTTATTTGTCATTTTGGGCAGGGGGTGGCTGGGCTGGCCGCCGGTAGCTGGGAGGGGTTCAGCTGTTGGAGGTTTCAAATAGAGCTTGTTTCAGGCTGGGCACAGCTGCTGCGAGACGGTCACATTCCTTGTTGAAATCCAGCCGCTAAAACCTGGGAGGTGCTGATCGGATTTCCCCCATTCCCAGCCTCGAGTTCTAGCAGGGGATGGGCAAACTCGGTTGTTCTGGAAACGGCTGGGATGGACCTGTCAGATGACCTGCTAGCCAGGGCCAGGACTTCCAGGTGGGGGTCTCTGCTAGGAGCCACGCTGCTCTCGGAGGGGGCTGCCCAGGGGAGCAGCTCCTAGAAGCAGCCTTTGTCGAAATAGCTCAAGGATTTGAACCCCTCAAGCGTGCAGAAGCGAGTGGGGTTTCCCCTGGAAGCACAGCTCACTTAGTCATCCCCAGTAATGAGCCTCTGAGTCTGCAGGTCCTTCTGCTCGCTGCCTTCTCAGAACCGCCTCCCCCTCTGGGCACTCAGGGAGAGGGGCTGCCCCCTCGGCAGGCGTGGCAGCCGCCCTCAGCACACGAGCTCTTGCTGGGAAGCCGCTGATGGCCCAAGTGCTGGGTGTGAGGGGAAGGGGTGGGACAGCACCTCCTCTTCCAGGGATCCCTGTGGTCAGAGCTCTTCCTAGAGACAGCTCCCAGTGCCATCGGTCTGTGCACATTTGTCTTCCTGCAATGGGGGGTGGGGGTGCTACTGTCAGGGAGGAAGGGGCCGGAGCAGGTGCCGTGCTGCGGGAGCATTCGGGGAGAGTCGGAGAGAGCAGGCCCCAGTGTGAAGGACAGGTGAAGTGACCCAAGGGGCCAGGTGTCACTCGTTTCTAAATCGCTGACCCTCTGGCTGATGGCAGCTCGGACAGGGCAGCACCTGGGAAGGTCCTGTTTGCCTCAGCTGGTGAGGCGGCCGCTTCCTGTGCATCTCGGGGCTGGTACTGGTCGTGGTCAGCAGGACTCACTTTCACCTGCTCTCCCACTCGCTAGCCCTTCTGTCTGTCCATCCACACACCGAGTCATTCCAGAACGAGCCCTCTCTGCGTGTCTTCTGTGTCAGGCCCTGTGGATCCAGGAGGGGGAAGGTAGCCAGCCAGCCCTCTCTTCTGGAGGCAAACAGGATCATTCCAAAGCATCAGACTGAAGTTTGAGTTCCAGCTCTGCCACTCCCGGCCGTGTGGTCTTGCACAAGCCATGGAGCTTCTGTGAGCCTGTGTCCCCGGCTGGCAAGTGGGGAGAAGGGAGCTGGACTAGTAAACGGGACTCTTGTTACTGTTATTAGTAATGATGATGCTGGCGAGAGAAAAAGAAATGTCTTTTCCCTGTTATCTGATTCAGGCTCCCGCATTGGTTGGGGCCTGAACAGACTGGGAACTCAGACTTGCTGATGGAGGGACAAGCTCTGAGAAGGGGCCAGTCTTCTCGCAGGCAGCCGTCCCTCCACAGGGTCCATGGTGGTGAAGGCGAGCGTCTGTTCCCAGCTTTGTGGAGGAAACAGGAGGGTTGGGGTGAGGACGAAGAACCACCAACTGGGAGCACTCGGAGTCACTAGCAGGCCTGGGGGTGGGATGGGTGACAGTTTCTTTCGCTGGAGAACTTTCTGTGTCTGGAAGCGGAAGATGGACAGGGTAGCTGCAGGCCCCCCAGTCAGATTCTGGTGTCAGCTCCCACTCAAAGGCCTGTGGGGACAGGGACACTTCCCTCCACCCCCCTGCCACGATGGAAGACTGCTAACCTTGTGCCTGAGCTGCTGCTCTCTGAAGCTCTCTACCGTTTCCCACGGAGCTGTGGCCTGCCCATTTGCCTGCCTTTGACTAGCATCTGTTGCTGGGAAGGGATTCACCACGAGGCCTGGCTGGCTCTCTTGAGAGGAACGTAGCCTGTCCCTGAGCGATCCAAAGTTAATGCAAACAGAAGCCAGTGAGGGGAGGTAAGAAATTGGGACAGAGCCGTCCTGGCTTCCCCTTCACGAGCTGTAGGTGGTGACGGGGGCAGGAAAATGGGCTCAGGGGGCTCAGGTAGCAGGAGAGCTGTTCACTCAGGCCTGTGAGGCTGTGCTGCAGGGAGGTGCCAGAGATGGCCCCTGCGGGCTCCTGGAGGTTCGGGACTGACCCTGGACTGAATGAGGACTCCAGATTTGTCCGTGTGTTTCCAATAGCTGAGTTGACTCTGAGGGCTAAGACATCCTGACGTGGCCGGGTTGAGAGAGCCTACTAAGAAATCCTAGTCACATTGTCTCTGTGGCGTTGGTGCTAGTCAGGAGTGGGGCAGTGGGGACTTAGGGTCCTTCTTGGCATTCTTTATTTTCTCCGAGAGCCGGTTTGAGGCACACCTGCTCCGTTGCCTTACCCTGCCTGCTGTGTTCTCTCCAGCGGATGGGGAGAGAGCTGGGGCTGGGCGGGGCCCTGTGGGTCCTCCTTGTCCTCCCCGGGCATGGACTCCTGGACCCCACCCTGCTCCCCCACTGGCTGCTGAGCTGGTACCTCTCTTCAGTCTGTCCAGGTGGCCAGTCAAGGGTGGACCTTGTTTCTCAGAGGCCAGGGTGTGGAGTCATCTCAGAGGAGGCTGGGGTGCTGGGCCAGCAGGCAGCTCTCTGTTTCCAGTTTTGCACACCCTCGAACCAGTCTCCCATCCCTGTTCTCACAGTCAATCGAGCTTCACTTCCCAGGCAGAGTGGGTCCTCTGCCCTGCCCTGTGCCCTCCCCTGCCTGCCCCACCACCTTCTTGCCCCTCTGCTCCGCCGCTCCTCCTGCCTGGCCTTGGTGCTGGGGTCACCCAGGCCGTGGGCAGAGGAGCTAGCTGGGGTGACAGTCTTACCTGGCTGTCCTCTCTATCCCATGCATGGCTTCCTTTCTCATCTCTAGTTCCTCTTCTATTTTCAGACCACCTTACGGGAAGCTGCCCTGGAGAGGACTGGCTTCTCTGCGTGCCCAGGGAGCGTGGCCCCCCAGTCATTCACTCTGCAAAGAGGAATGGGGTCCCTTAGGGCCAGCTCACAGAGGTCAGTGAGTCCATCCCGGCCTCCGGCCCGGTCCCAGCTCCTTTGACCCCTGCCCTGCTGCTCAGAGACGTCTTGGCCACAGAAAAGCAGGGCAGCAGTGGGGCTTTGGCTGGGCGAATGGCCTCGCCTCCTGCCAGCCCAGGAGCCAGCGCAGGGTAAGTGGGTGGCTGTTGGGAATGTTCCGACATTTGGGAGGAGATGCCTCAAGGTACTTGCGGGCATGTGGGGAAAGCAGGGAGAGGGCAGACCCCTATTCGTGGGCCCTCCCTGTGGGGTGGCCCGCAGGATGGGGTGGCAGAAGGCAGGAGACTCTTCACAAGCCATTGGCTACAGGCAGGAGCCTGGGAGCCAGGTGCCAAGGGCCCCCAGGTGTACGTTTTATCTCCACAGGTCACACTGGGGGTCTTGGCCCAGGGAGGGCAAGTGTGGCTCTGGGGCAGTGAAAACGAGGCCCTTCTCCTACCCGGGGTGGCGGTGACTTTATTTATAACCTTGTGGACAGCCTGCCATGAGTCAACCGTTTGTAACCCACAGAGGGGACAGCTAACTTTTATATATGCTTCCCCTTTGCGGGTCATCACACTATTTATAACTGTCCCCGGGAAAGACCGCACAGCGCGCCCGGACTTCCCTTCCCCACAGGCAGTGTCGCCCGCCTGCTTGGGCTCTGGCATCATCGCCGGGGCATTTATCTGCCGCGCAGGCTAATGAGGAAGCTGGCCATGGC